AAAAAAAAAAAAAAAACCACAAAAAACAAAAAACATGTAAATGTTAATTATCCCAGAAGAAAAAACAAAGTCAAACGGGAGATTCTATTTCAGTAAAACTCACGGGACTCTCCAGCTGGAAGTGGGAAAGGTTGTGGGGAGAGAGAGCAGAGCTTCCGTTGATTTACTGGCTCGTGGAGGTCCAGAGGTGCTCTGAGATCAGTCATGTGAAAGGCATTTATTTTATGATTCTGTTTCCACTCCTGCCCCGCAGCCTTGAGCCTTGGGAAGCCCCTGAATACTTACTGAGCACTGGGCCATGACCAGAGCAGTTTTCCAAGAAGTCTGACTGTGTGGATGTGGGTGGCCTCTGGAATGTCAGAAGACAAGGTGAACACTGTACTCCATGTCCATCACAAAGCACCAGCTTTGGTGAGCTACAGCCTGGCATCCACAGCATGTACATATTTCTAAAAATAATAAACAATATCTGTGTGTCTACTGGTGAGAGGGAATTATGTATGACAAGCCACCAGCACAATAACAAAAAGCTTTTTGTATTTTTCTTCAAATGTAAGACTCTAATGTTTTTACATATGGAAGGACCTGTTTATTTCAGCTTTCTAGTATAAACATTGTATCTGAAGACTCCGGGACATCCCTGTGATGTAAAAATCTCAGCTTTGTCTGGTTAGCAGAAAGAATTGTTTCTCCTGACATTTAGACCTATGGATTTATTGCTGTGGCTTGAGGGAGGGAGATTTAGTGTTTATTTCTTTCTTAATTGCCACTAAAAGACGAAACATTTAAACATTCCAAACACGTGTACCAATAAACATAATGAAGAAGCACTAGAAAAAAAAAGTTTAATGCCATAACATATTTGGCAGTCAGAACTACTTGTACTGGGGAGTATATAAGTGAATGTAAACATTTACAAAGAAATAATCAACAGCACCGAATAAATAAACAAATGAATAAACAAGAAAGTAAATACACTTCTGAAATAAGTTCAAAACAGCCCATTTTCCTTCCCATTCGGTTATAAATTTCACATGCAGTTTTCTTTGCAGACAATTCTGTGTCAGGACTTTGGACTTTGTGTTCCAACTCTCTAATCTACTCACCCTAAGAGTAGAGGAAGAAAGCTCTCAGAAGTCTATCAAAATTAGGAGCACAGCATGAGCTTCCAATTCACTTAGTTCTCTAAATTATAGAAAATGTAAAATGTACAATGGAGAAAGGTTTCGAGAAGAATATGAGACTTTGTTTGGGGCAGGTTGAATTGAAGATCTCTGTCGAATACGTATAGCTTTTGGTTAATGCTTAAGTGATTGGCTGAATGGGACAGAAGGGTGGGGTGGAATTTCTATTTGGAAGTCAGGTGGTTGACAGAGCTACTGTATGTTAGGTAGTTCTACACATGTAGTAATTGCACTGACAGGTAGGGAAACCAAGACACAGAAAGGTTGACTGCATGGCATGGTATCCCAGATTTAATGAGAAACAGTAAACCCACAGGTCCCTAAGATGCTGTGTGCTTGCCAAGGAATGAACTTGTTGGAATAAATGAAAGACCAGAGGGAATGGGCATTTAGTGTTCTGCAGGAGTCTCCGAGTGTGTGCTTTGCCCAACACCCACAGTAAAAGTTCCTTTTTTATTTTGTTTTATTTTATTTTATTTTATTTTATTTTATTTTATTTTATTTTATTTTATTTTTGCTTTCATTTTTTGAGACAGGGTTTCTCTGTGTAGTCCTGGCTGTCCTGGAACTCGTTCTGTAAACCAGGCTGGCCTCGAACTCAGAGATCCACCTGCCTCTGAATCCTTAGTCCTGGGTTTAAAGATGTGTGCCGCCACCATCCGGCAGTAGAAGTTTCTTAAGTACAATGCCCCATTGTGCTTCGATTCTCCCTGGTTTATCTGTGTTGGTTTCTTGCTCATTTCTTTATATAGCTATGTTCTGTAGGTAAATTGATGTATTTCTCACAATACTTTCTATCACTTTACACTAAATTTATATTTTGTTACATCTCCAGCTAAAATATTTATCCTTCAATCTTTAATGAAAGCAAAGAATTCCTGCAGAACTGTAAGCACATTTCAAAAGGAACTCAAAGAGCTGACATCCACAATCAGTTCATCCACTAAGAGCTTTGCAAGGAATCCAGTGGTGGGAACCTAGTAGGGAAATGTACTCCATTCCTGTCAAAACGATGATTTAGGAGAGTTGTTTCCTTTGGGTTCCTCCTGGTCCCTCATGACCAGCACTCACCCATCATCCACACATCCATTCATCCACACATCCATTTTTTCCCCCAAACAACACATTTATTGTGGTCCTAGTACATACCAGTCACTGTTTTCCAATGACCCCCTCCCCGCAAATATGAACTATTCCTCAGTCACCAGAAGTCTCTTGTTTCAAGGTCAGATTCAAGTCTGGCTCCCCAGGCCATTACATCATGCTCTGGATCTTTCTTTTTCTCTCCCTATTTATCTCTTTGCTCTATCTATAAGAGGTAGCTGTAAGAGATCTCCCTTCCCCTCCCCCCTCTGTCTGTCTCTGTCTGTCTCTGTCTGTCTCTGTCTCTGTCTCTCTCATGGGCCATGAAACTCCTGTTTCAAGGGCCACCACAAGCTAGAAACACAAACAAATGGCTTAACAACATCAAGAGTCAAGGTGAATGAATTCTGAATGACATTCACAAAGGCTCCAAAGGAAAATTAGGCTGTCTGAAGTGTCATGAAGTGTCATGACAGGGGTAACCATGTTCTACAGTATTCTTTGAGGTCACTGTTACCAGGAAGGTAGAGAACAAGAGAAATAAATACAGGGTCCCAAGCACAATTCACCATATTGTTGCTTCCTCCTTAGGAAACTCACTAAAACTAATTTTTCTTCCTGGTTGTAATCTGGAGACATGTTGAAAGTATCCTCCTTTGTGTGTGTGTGTGTGTGGGGGAAATTATGCAAAAAAAGAAAGAAAAGCAAACATTGAGAAAATCTGAAGGATAATGCACATTTTACTCAGACTATATATAGACTTAAATAGTTGTTTAATTAGCCTTTATTATTTCAAAAAAAGGAAAGAAATGGCATCTGATTGCCTCTTTTCAAGGCTTCAGTTCTGCAGTTGGTTGAGTGCTTGCCTTCCATTAGTGTATTGATGCATTTAACTTCTGCAGTCGCCCAGACCTCCCAGCACCACTGTGTGCATTCCATTTGACTCCATTTCAAGTACTAATGGATAAAGTGTCTGGGTTCTGGACCTGGCAGGCTCTTTCTCATGTTCCCTAAGAAAACATTGCAAACTTCCTCAGAGTCTTCCAAGATGGGGCATATGGAACACACATTTCAACTTTCCAATGTGTTGCACCCTTGATATAAAATGTTAGCAAGAGGAAGGAAAATCATTTCAGCGATGGCTTCCTTATAAACTCCACTTGTGCCTGGCTAGTTTTATATTAACTTGGCATAAGCTAGAGCCATTTGGGAAAGGGGAATGTCAACTCAAAAAAAAAAAAGGTCCTCTCCAGCTTGGCCTGTGGACAAGCCCGTGTGGTATTTCCTCAGTTGATGTTTGATGTGGAGGGCCTAGCCTACTGTGGGCAATGCCACTCTGGGGTGGTGGTCCTGGGTGCTATAAGCATCCTGAGCAAACCACGAGGATCAAGCCAGTAAGCAGTATTCAACTGTGATGTGGAAATATAAGCTGAAATACACGCTTCTCTCCCTGAGTTGCTTTGGGTCCTGGTGGGTGTTTTTCTTTTTCTTTTTTTGTTTGTTTTTGTTTTTGTTTTTTGAGACAAGCTTTCTTAGTGTAACAGCTCTGGCTGTCCTGGACTCACTTTGTAGACCAGGCTGGCCTGGAACTCACAGAGGTCTTCTTACCTCTGCCTCCTGAGTGTGGGAATTAAAGGCATGTGCCACCACACCTGGCTGGGCATGGTTGTTTTTTTTTTTTTTTTTTTTTTTTATAACAGCAATTGAAACCCTAAGACACCACCCAGCTATAAAACTGGTGACATAGGACTTAAGGATATCACAGTGACAGCCTCCTGTGCCAGTGTATGGCTGTTCTTGTCATAACTTAGAAGATATTGGTGACGGAGTTGTCATTTAGAGCTACAGTGAATGCCATTCATGAATTAATGTTAATCCCGTGTCTTAAAAAGTGTTTTCTTTACTTATTCCTAAGCCTTTCATATGGGTACATGATGAAATATGATCTATACCATTTGCGAAGGTGTATACCTCTTAAAGAGCAGGCTCATCTCTGCTCTCGCCATCTGTGATACAGGCTGGATGGTCGGTTTGAGGGTCTTATTTTCCTCTTTGGTGGAAATTCCTCAAGTTCTAAATGTGGACAAATAGCTTTAGAGCAGACCTCGAGCCCCTGAGATACGGCACTAGGGTAATCCACAACCAATAAGGCAGAGCCAGTCACCCTGACTCTGTCTGTGATTCTCAGCAGTGGACCCCAAATTCTTTCTCTTTTCACTTTGAATTTCCCTTTATCAGTTATAGCAGACTAGGCAATCACAATGAAATATATTTGCATTTCCTAAGTAGGGAATCAATGGAATGGTACTGATTATTAAAAAGAGCTAAGAGACAGCGGTGTGCCACTCTTCACGCAAATAGTTTACTCTCAAAGAGTTCTCAGCTTAGACTCTGAGTTCAAAGCCACCCTCTGAAGTTTCCTTGCCCAGTGTTTAATTAATCTCTGTCCTTGAAGTTCATAAATGAACATGCCCCGTGATTTCCTCCTTGTGATAGCCCCTGGCTGTTTTCACCGCCCTCACAGCTACTGGCAGGCAGTTGCTCTCCCACATTCCCTCCAAGTAAACAGGAATTTGGTCCCTGGGTAACTGGCTGCTTTCCAGTGTAAGAATCTGAGTTATTCATGAGCTTTATGGGCTGGCTTCTGCTTAAACCAGACAGTTTTCATAAGGGAGTGCATGGACAAAAAGAATTATGGAGGGTTTGAATCTTGAGGATTATTCCTTTCAAGTGTGTGATAACCTCTGATTCTTCTCCCCGAATATTTTCTAAACTGTCTCTTGACCTCTTCTACTACCTCACATTTCATGGTGGTTACTGGAACTTTACCAGGGAAGCTGCCTTGAAATCACAGTCCTTTCCAGAACGCAACTGACCTAGACAGATGTTCACATACTATTATTTTCCAGATAGAATATGCTGACAAAGCTTTTAAAACTAAGCTTTCAGCTGGGCAGTGGTGGCACACACCTTTAACCCCAACACTCGAGAGGGAGAGGCAGGTGGATCCCAGAGTTCGAGGCCAGCCTGGTCTACAAGATTGAGTTCCAGGACAGTCAGGGCTACACAGAGAAAAACCTCTCTTGAAAAAACAACAGCAACAGCAAAAACAAAACCAACAACAACAAAATTTAAAATTTCAAGAGACTATAAGGGTAACTGCCTAAGTTACAAATGATTCAAAAATAAACATTAAGAAAATAATGTAAGCCGGGCAGTGATGGTGCATGGCTTTAATCCCAGTACTTGGGAGGCAGAGGCAGGTGGATCTCTGTGAGTTTGAGGCCAGCCTAGTCAGAGCAAGATCCAGGAAAGTCACAAAGCTACACAGAGGAACCCTGTCTCGAAAAACAAAACAAAACGAAATAAAACAACAACAAAAGAAAGAAAGCAAAAAGAAAGAAAGAAAGAAAGAAAGAAAGAAAGGAAGGAAGGAAGGAAGGAAGGAAGGAAGGAAGGAAGGAAGGAAGGAAGAAAGAAAGGAAGAAAGAAAGAAAGAGAAAAGAATGGAGACGAAGACATGTTTTCAAGGATAAGAGTGCATGTACTTTAAATTTTGAGATGGATTACACTGATATGTTTTATCAGAGGAAAAAATTAATAAGCTTAAATTTTTCAAAGGCAAAGGTGTTACCTATGCATTGCATTTGGAAATGAGTAAAAGAATTAATTCTAGGCTTCTAGAGACCGGGCAACTAGAGGATGCATCTTCTTTGTGATGTCACCTAAGAGGGTCATATGTGAGCACTGCCTTCCTGGTGACTTACACTGTCCTCAAGGCTTCAGGATATTGTCAAATATTATATTCTAAAATCTAGCAGCATTGTCTTTGACAGTTGTTCAAGACTCAGTTGCTTTGGTTTAC